CCTATAGAATTCCCTTCCTGGAAGAAAAATTAAAGGTCATGGTGTGTATTGTGTCTAACTGTTGATTAGTTCTCAGTGACTCATGCTCCTTAAATTACAGAGAAGTAGAAATTTTGGTTGATTTGAAGACATCCATCCATCCTGTAATAAATACTCCTGCAGTACATGCAATCTGTAAAACTACTGTTGAACCCTGCTCAAAATGGAATCTTTCACCGGCATTTATGGGAATCTCCACAGCTGTATTCGTGCGAGGGTTAAACAGCGGTAAATCTGTAAGAGATGATCATATATTCCTTTCTCTCATAGATGCTGCTGAATTTAGAAGTTTATCAAAACTTCCCCCTTTGTCAAAACTCATTTCATATACCTATTGAAGCACAGAACTATTTGGAATTTCAGACAGAGCTTTTCATGTCATTGTCCAGCATTTCGCCTAATAGCTAAGCAGAAATGAGAGGACTGATTGTGCATCTTCATGAAAGATAATTTCCTTCCTTTCAAAAGAAACCATTCTGCAACGACTGAAATAGGTTTGTTATAGCAGAATCTCTTTAGACCCCCTGCACTTTTTGGGTTAATGGGAATTCATATTAGTACTATGTATGACTATTTGGACACATTCTTCAGATATCCTGCTGAGCTGCTTCTACTGAAAATAAGCATTTGTCATCGGACAAGACAAAAGAAACAGTAACTTTAAAGCTTATCTCCTATGCACATATTCTTATCACAGCAGCGGTAGTGGGAACGACATAGGTTGCTTTCTTCTTCCAGAGTCCTTTGGAAAAGTGATTTCTGAAACAGTGAAATTCCACTGTAGGCCCTCTAAAAGGGAGAATGGAAAGGGTTTGTTCTTGGCAATACTTTGTCTTTTGTTTCCCCTTCAGGAATCATCGGTGCAGCAGCCCTGGATTTTTTTAACATTGAGATTTCAATGGAAATAGTCGATCAAACAGAAGAAGAAGAAAGAACTGGGAAAAAAGAACATATTGTTTTTCTTGTCACTCAAAACCCTGTATTTTCATACAAGGAAAGAAATGAATTTTCTTCCTCACCTCAGTATCTTGCTGACTCTGAAAAACAAATTGAGAACCAACTGAATAAAGAGGTATTTTAATATTCATTATCACTCTATTATTAAAATACGATTAAAATAAAAACACCCTTGAATTTCCCTTTGGATTTATTTCAACAGGACCTTGAAAAAGCCAAGAATACAATTAGAGACAGAGGAAGCTCTGTTTGTCCTGTCAAGAAAAGTCACTGGAAAACAATAAGAGGAATAATCACGTTAGGAAAAGGTGAGAGATCACGCAGAGGGAGCTTGCCATCGTTTCTGAGTCTCGTCAGTAAGCCTCCCTACCTCCACCCACCCATCCATTTTGAAGTTGCCATTCGTATTTCCTCTGCGTCTTTTCAAAATGTTTCTGCTTAAGTTTCTTTCAGTTAGACATTGCTAATCAAAGAAAAATTGCAGATAATAAGCATGCTTAGTAATGACAGACACTGAAATGGAGTATGACCTGTCACTTTTGTCTCTTAAACAGGGTTTTCTTCTGAAAAGTATGCTTCTGTAACATGTCATTGTGTGGTACATTCGATACTTCCTTCTCATGTCACTTGCTCTAATGATGAATTTAAGAGAGTGTTTTTTAACTTGGTAGCTGCTACTCCTTTCCAAAGTTATCAACTGTAGTAAATTCTGAAAGACAAATTACACCCTCCGCTACCAAAAATCTACTGCTAATCTAGCAATCTCTGTTTATATCTTTATATATTATATGTTTATAATCTCTATTTATATCTGTTTATAAAACGGAAGGATTTTTTCAGTTCGGATCTTTCGATTCCCCAAGAGGAGAATCCAGCCCGGTATTGCCAAGCTGTCTGGATTCTGGGAGGAGTGAAAAATTGAACCTGATCTCATCTGGTGCAATGCCACGTGCATTACAAGAGCAGATATATTGAGCAAGAAATTAATATATATTCAAAATAAAATTTTAGAGTAGTGTTATTACTTAAAAAAAAAAATCCTTTAACAATTAATGCAAGAGTTATCAAGAGCCAGACTTTGAAAGATGAAAAACCCACATTGACTTCCCCTGAAGCACTAAGAGATCTAAAAGCTGGGTCCTAAATTTGTAATCTTTTTCACCAGGCTTCTAAGTGACTTGAGCATTGGTTATCAAGCAGAATTTACTAGAGTGACTGTCATAGCCACCTTCTGAGGGACAGAGATCACTTGAAATAATCATCCCTTTGATTATTGTGGGTTACTGGAGAATCCAAGTTCATATGCGAAGATCAGAGGCTTTGGGTGCTTCAGTCAGATAAGCGCTTTTGACTGTTTTACCCATTTTATTCATTTTACAACAATATGTGTTCGCTAGCAAGCACAGCCTGCTCTGTGACCATTTTGAAAAAAACTCAGGGTAAGTAAAATAGAAACCAAACAGTAATTTGGTCTCTGTGCTACAGACTAGAGTTCTTTGTATAGGAGACTGAAACCCAGATCGTGCTGGGTTTTTCTCCATAAGTGTTCCTTAGTAGCTGGCAAAGTATATTAAATCCATTTCTGCGTACGTTTTTGTGGGATATAGCTGTGTTCTATTGCTACGACATCTGCAAAGTCATAGAGCAGGAACATCTACAGTGGTTCACCTATTCTGATTGTTTCCACATAATCTCATGCATCTAGTGCTCTGTGCTTTTTGTGTGGTTAAGTTTTAAACTCTCAGCCAACTCAAGATTAGTTGCTAATCAGCTGTGTGTGTTAAACTGTGGAGCATTTAGCACAGATGTATGCGCATTTCTGGACCCCCACACTGTTTACTTTGTCTTCACTCATTATGATACAGGGTCCTGTCTCACTGAGTGCTAAAAAGTCACGCTGACTGCTTTTACGAGGTGTAACCTGATTAAAAACTACACATTTATCTTGCCACAGGTAAGCTCCTGAGAGGATTTGATCCTGTTTATCCCAAGAGCCTCTGGATCGACACAAAAACATTTTGCAATGGACTTCCTTTTCATATGGTTTTTGACAAAGAGGTAGGACAAGCATGTGGTAAGGGCATTTAGTTTGCATAAACCATATAGTAATTTTCTTCTGTTTTGACTGTCCTACACTTCACTGCTGCGTGTGCTCTGTATACAGTGCACGCTCATTTGTAGCATTTAGAGAAGTGTTCCGTACAGAGACATGCGATAAAAGTCACTCATAACAGCTGGATCTGGATCGTTTCAGATAGGAATCTCCTTCGAATTTATTGAGATTGCCATGTCTGAAACAGCTGCAGATAATGCCAGCAGGGTTTATTGCAGCAGTCTCTCTGTTAACCAAACACAGAACAGAATTTTCTGAGGTTTCTGGCCACCTTCCTGTCCTTGGATGTGCCAGAGACACGACCCATCCTTTAAACTGGCTTTGTACTGATAGCTAGTCACCCTCTCCTCCCAGTCACCAATCTAGCCAAATGCTTTTGTAAGGCTTTGCTGGCAGCTGAGGCTCTACAAGCTTCCCGAGTCTAATCCTACACGCTTCTGCTGGGACAACCCAGCAACCTAATAAATCGGGCAGCATGCAGCCCCATCTAGTAGGACCTGGGGGTGTTGGTTGACAGCCGGCTGAACATGAGCCGGCAGTGTGCCCAGGCGGCCAAGAAGGCCAATGGCATCCTGGCCTGTATCAGCAATAGTGTGGCCAGCAGGAGCAGGGAAGTGATCGTGCCCCTGTACTCGGCATGATTCTATGATTCT